TTTTTTTTCTCTATGCAGCTCTCGCTGACATTTTTTTATTAGTTTAAGCTACGATTTAATGCAAAACATTTTGATATATGAGAATCATGGAATATTTTTGAAACAAAAATGCTTAGGGAGATCGTAGATTCTGAGAGAAATGTCCGACAATGTCCTCCACCGGTCGTCATACACAAAATTGAAATAAGCAGATGAAAGGAAAGGGGGGGGGGGTATTTTATCTTCACGTTTTCATTAAAATGTAGAGTAACCAAACGGGGATACAGCACTCACTGCTGCCCCCATCCCAACTTTGAGGTTTTTTTTCTTTTTCGCTTTCTTAAATTTTTTTTTTCTAAACTTGTATACATACGGTTTTTATTTCAACAACAAGTAACGAATTGACGCACATAGGTGTTGGTTGATTATAAGTCTACCCCCCATGGAATACGATTTTCCGCTTTATTTTTTTTTTTTGGGGGGGGGGGGGTAATAATTTGTGAACTGCCCCACTCCTTCTTAAAATGTTGAATCCGATAATACCTTTACGTTGTAAAATTTTATTCTTAATTCACCTCAATTTTAGAGTAAATACTAAGAGTTCTATGGCGAATTGAACGATTGGTATGTCTGTATACGGATACAGCTTTCCGTCATCGCTAAAAATAAACCGTACCTGTATCGTTGATATTTTGCAGATACAGTACAGTTTCTGCTCATTTGCATATGAAACGCCCACAAAAAGTGTTCTGTATCGCAGTTACAGTATGCTTGACTTCAAGGAAAACTCGCCGGGTCATGTCACAAGCTATATATGATTGTGTAGATAAATTATCGAAGATGACATAGGTATAAACAGTTTACCTGTGCATTTCTTCTGAAAGTGTAAATGAGCGCGATTCTAAGGGAGGGGGGTACTCGGTGTAAATCGGAGTTATATACCTTGTGTTATTATTATACTATGGGTCAAAAATTTATTACAGAAACAAGTGCCTGTGATTAAGAGGCATCAATTAATATATACATATAAATATATGACAAATAATAAACTTTTTGTGGCAACATTCAATGTAAGTGATTGACTTCAAATGGTGACTAACATATTTTTATGAGATATTTCTGTGCATCCCACCCTAACCTCAGCAAACATTTGAACTACTTAGAATCTACTGCCTCTAATATATTTCACCTATTTTTCATCTTTTCTAGTCTAGTGGTTCCAGAAAAAAAAGATTTATTTCTGTGTAAAACTTTCATCCCCTGATAGTGGCGAACATTTCCCCTAATTATAATGCAAACAATTTAAAATTTAAAATACTTAGGTATGCTTTCCCAAAACTTTTATAGCCCAGTATTTCTTGAAATGATTTTATAATGATCCAAGCCTATTTTTGCTTTCTTTATCAACTCCCCTTGAAAGGGCGCGTAGTTTTCCTTTGACCGTCCAAGACAGATTTTCCTTCACCCTTGGATGCTCTGGACTAACTTTCACAAATATTAACATAATGATGTTGTTGATGATCAGCTCACTCAAGCTTTCAGCTCATTTGAATTGAATATCTTACAGGGTTTATTTCAAAGAAATTGAATCAAGAACCCAGAGAATATTTTATATAAATTTGCCAAATTCTCTTACCTAGTTATCTAACCTTATTACCACCCTTAAAGGTATATTAAATAAAAAAAATATTAAAATACCTCTTCCACTTTCACTTCAGAGGACTTATCAGATTCTGTGTCGAGAGAACTTTCTTCGTTGCATCTAGAATAAAAGTGGTTAATATTTATTTCATTTAAAAATTTGTAATTAAAATTCCTATCTCATTTAAGATATTTTTGACACATATATACTCATACACATACTCCTTTGATCTGTTGCAAAGCACAGTCAACTCCTTAAAGTTGGTTTCGCCTTCAGAATACTTCTGTAGCAAAGTTATGAGGATGTCGTCCTTTACTCCGTCTACTGGTTTGAGATGTCTTCCGCTGACTTTTGCTATCTTTTTATCCCGCTTGAATTTCTCAACACATTTAAGAATTTTTTCCCAAACCTTACTCGGAAGCTGTGCAAACCTCACTTCAAATTCAAATATGTTGTTTATAGTTTTCCTCTGCAAATGATTAATACAATTAAAACACACGTTAATTTCTTCTAAACAATACTGTATTTGTTGACTTTAAATTGTACATGTGTTAATGATAAATATTAAAAAGTTATAAAGGTGTAACTACACTGATTGATCCCATGCACAGTTCTAGCCCCTTTTTTCATTGTCTTATTACAGCTTTCTCCATTCGGGTTTCAGTGGCCATCGTTTCTTTGGCAGATTTCATTCCTGCTTTTTCAAACAATGCAAACCTAAAAAAAAGGTTGCCCTGCTGACTAAATAAACTAAAGCTCTGCAAAAATTGCTTCTTTCGACCTGGCAAATCAGTTAAGTGTAGAATATGAATTCACTATCTTGCAATTTTTGTTCAAATTAGGACTCATTCTGATAAATGTAAATATGTGAACGACAGACAAACATCAGACACTGATCAAAAACCTCACTTAGGCCTTAAAATGGCTCTGGTGACCTAAAACGAAAAGGCCACAGCTCAAGATCAATGTCTGACTAACGTTGAAAAAGATGAAATTTCAATTCTGGTGATTTTATTGAATAAGAAAAAAAAAATGAAAAAATCTTACCTTTTTGTTTGTTTTTTTACAGCTCTTGTTCCATCTTGTGAGCATCTGGATTCCTGTAAAATGCATGTATTATCTCTTCGATCTAAGCTCTATACTAGAAAGCCACAATTACAGGTCAAACATAAATTGATGTATGTCAAAAATTATCAGATAAATTAGTCATTTCATTCGTAGTAACAATTTATACAAAAGAGAGTAATCCGATCCCCACAAAAGCATGTTCACACAATACAATTTTACCCGCGCATCAACACCAAGTGACGCTTTGGTAAATAGAAGGCAGACTGAAAGGAAATTCACACGTTACCCGGATAATGTGACCTTAGGTATCCTTAGGAACGTTTACTAAACATTTCCTGAATTATACAATAGCTATTACTTTTATATAGTTGGTACTACAATTTTCATATTCACTTATGTATTCACTATGACAAGAAATTTCACTTGGTATAAACATATTTGACCTTAGAGTTTGGCCTATTTTTAAAAGATTTTACAACATGGTTAAAAATGTTAGCAAAATGTGTTCAAAATTACAAAGAACACGACACAAAAACACACATCTGTGCACCAAAGAATTTTAGGAATATATTTCTTACGTCATTGTGTTCAAAATCGATTTTAGCTCACCTGAGTCGAGGGCTCAAATGAGCTTTTCTGATCATATTCTGACCAATGTCTGTCGCTGTTGTTGTTGGCGTCGTAAACTTTTCATTTTCATCTTCTCAATTTAAGAACCACTAGACCAATTTCAACAAAACTTGCCACAAAGTATCTTCCAAAGCAAATCTTCTTCAGAACCTCTAGAAACCACAGTTACAGGTCAAACATAACATTGGGTCAGGAAAGATGAAACTCATGTGGAAGTATCCTCAGGTAGTGTAGATTCAAGTTTGTTCAAATCATGACCCCTGGGGGTAGGGTGGAGCCACAATGGCTGATCTAAGTTTTACATAGGAATATATAAGAAACATCTTTAAATAATTTCCTCTCCAGAACAATTCGACCAGGAAAGATGAAACTCATGTGGATGCTTCCTCAGGTAGTGTAGATTCAAGTTTGTTCAAATCATGAGCCCCGCAGATAGGGTGGGTCCAAAATGGGCAATCGAACATAGAAATATACAATTAATAATTAGTGATCACAAATTAATTATTTGTTATAACAAATTGATAATTTGTTATAACAAATTGATAATTTGTTATAACAAATTGATAATTTGTTATAACAAATTAATAATTTGTTATAAGAAATTAACAATTTGTTTAAACAGATTACTAATTTGTTATAACAGATTACTAATTTGTTATAACAAATTAATTATTTGTTAAAACAAATTAATAATTTGTTATAACAAATTGATAATTTGTTATAACAAATTAATAATTTGTTATAACAAATTAACAATTTGTTTCAACAGATTACTAATTTGTTATAACAGATTACTAATTTGTTATAACAAATTATTAATTTGATATAACAGATTATTAATTTGTTAAAACAAATTATAAAATTTGATATTACAAATTACTAATTTGATAAAACAAATTAGTAATTTGTTATAACAACTCAATAATTTGTTATAACAAATTAGTAATCTGTTATAACAAATTACTTATTTGTTATAACAGATTAATAATTTGTTATAACAGATTACTATTTTTTTGATATTTGACATGTTCACAGAACTATGGAATCTATATCAGATTAGAAATCATTCTGGTAATGGCGCCCGTTCGAGTAGGCCACGCTTACTGACGGAGAGGTAGAGTGGCCATTATGGTGCATTACTCAATAAGTTGGGTGTCTTGGATGAAGTAGTTATAATCAAGTGTGTTCAGAGATTCAGGACTGTTATTTTTGGAGACCGAAAGTGCAAAACGATGTTTTCAGTCCAAACTTTGACGTGAGTAGTTATTTCTATAAATAGTTACATGCCCAAACCGGTTATGAGTATTAACACGACAGACAAATACTTGACTATGTCGGCCATTGGTGTTGTTACCAGAAATTCTAACTCACGCAAGTCAACAAACAGTCCAATCTCTAAAAAAACATCTCAGACTCCAAATAACAATAATCAAAAACAAGAGAAATCGGAAAAAGCGTCGGAGAGACCGTCAGAGGAAATGCTCTCAATTCAGACACAACTTACTGAAATAAGAAACGATCTGAAAAAATCAGTCAAAGTTGACGTCATCAGGGATATCATCAAAAACGTCGTAGAGGAGTTACTCTCCAATCATTTAAAGAATTTTGAAAAGAAAATGAACGATCAAATTGTACAACTAAAACAAGAAATCAAAAGCTAACTCACAATATTGAACAATAGACTCTATTCACGCACGCGCTAAAGTTCGTAGCGATAACGAGGCTGACCTGACAAAAAGCACATGTGCGAGCAGACGCTGAAAATGGACGGCCATGCGAAAACGGGCTCCGCGGCGTATTGTTGTGTGCCGCTTTGTAATGAAGACAGTCGTCGGGGTACAGCAACATCCTTCCACTCTTTTCCAAAGGATCCATCTGTACGGAAAGAGTGGATTATTAAAATACGACGAGACGAAGGCCCCGACTTCCATGTAAGTTTTTCAAGTGCCTGACACAGAGTTTATCGATTTTGTGGATATAAAAAAAATCCCTCACTGAAACATCTTTAAAAAGTTACATATTTTTAATTTTGATTATATTTTCCTTTAATACATTGCATTCCACATACTTGACCCTTTTAATTTAAATTATCACAGTGAGGCGATAGATTCCACATCACTAGTGTCGTTTACGTCCATCTTGCTAACGGTGCGAGCGAGGTTTCGTATCATCTCATTTCTTCTTCCATTGTTCCTGAAGATATGAAAACAGCTAGGGTGAAACCTATTCACAAAAAGAACAGTTCATTAGAAGTAGGTAATTATAGACCGGTTAGTATTCTTAGTGTTGTTTCAAAAATTTTAGAGAGATCTGTTCATATGCAACTTTCAAAATTCTTAGATCGTAATAATATCTTATATGAGTTTCAATCTGGTTTTAGAAGTAAGTACTCCACTGAATCTTGTTTGATACATTTATTTGATTTTATAAGAGATAATACTGCAAAGGGATTATATACTGGAATGGTTATGCTTGATCTGCAAAAGGCATTTGACACTGTTGACCATGACATACTTTGTAAAAAACTAAAAGCAATTGGTGTTCAATCTGTTGATTGGTTTTTATCTTATTTGTCTGAAAGAAAACAGTTTGTTCACAGTAATGGAATTTCTTCAGATGCTGGTATTATCACTTGTGGTGTACCACAGGGCAGTATTCTAGGCCCTTTATTATTTTTAATTTACGTTAATGATATGGTTACTAGTGTTGACGCAGATTGTAAACTTATTTTATACGCTGATGACAGTGCCATTATATTTGCACATAAAGATCCTGATTTTATATCAGAAAAGCTTGGTAAAGTTTTAGAACAGACTTCGCACTGGCTTGTTGATAATAAATTATCGTTACATTTAGGTAAAACTGAATGCATTTTATTTGGTTCCAAAAGAAAGCTTCAAAATGTTGAAAAGTTCCAGGTTGTATGTAATGACCATAACATTGATTGTAAAGAAAAAGTTAAATATCTTGGAGTTTTGATCGACAGATGTTTAAGTGGTGAATACATTGTTGAATCGATTGTCCAGAAAGTAAATAATAGATTGCGATTTCTGTACCGACAAGCCCGGTTTTTAGATACTTTTTGTAAAATGACTCTGTGTTCAGCATTAATACAATGCCATATTGATTACGCCTGGAGTGCTTGGTATGCAGGACTATCCAAAACTTTAAAGAAAAGGTTACAAATTTGTCAAAACAAGATGGTTCGTTTTATTTTGAATTTAGGTCCTCAGGCAACTGTTAATTACGAAATACTTAGTCAATTAAATTTATTAAATATTCAAGATAGAGTTTCTCAGCTTAGACTCAACCATGTTTTTAATATTTTTCAAGGAAAAGCCCCTTCTTATCTTAATGAACATTTTATACTTCGGTCAAATTTTAGTAGCTATCATACTAGATCAGTCTCAAATGCAGATTTTGTCGTTCCAATAACTAAGCAAAAACAATCTGAATCATTTTATTTTAATGGAATCAAAGACTGGAACATGTTACCAGCACAAATTAAACCTGTTTTAAACACTGGAAATAATTTTGCTTTTAAAAGAAATGTCAAGAAATTTTTATTAGAAAGGGGAATTGCCCAGTGTAAAAGTCAAGTTGTGTTTTATTAGTTTTCATTATTAGTATAAGTTGTTCCAATTACAATCATGTGAATATTTGGTATACATTCACAATACACTTCATTTTTAAGGATCTTTGTGTTGTCAACTTGATCCCATATCTTAGCTATAGTATTTTAATTTTATATTTATCTGCTTATATTATTTAACATCCAATTAATATACATGTTTGAGTATGAGGACCCCATTGGAAATAAGCCATTGGCTTTCATGGGTTATCCTTGGTATACAAATATAATCTTATGTGAATCATATTTATAAATTCATGTCTTTTAAAAATGATTGATTCCGATATTTTATATCAATTATATTGTTTAATGCCATCTTTTATATATATATATCTTAAATTATATTGTGAATATTGCAACGTATGTGTAGTATACCAAATAAATATCTATCTATCTATCTCGCACTTCATTACATCTCTACACATTATTAAGTTAGATAATTACATTTCGATATAACAACTTTTAATAAATTTTCTAGTCATATATAAAAAAAATTTTGGATGATAAATATCTATATAAACGTGAAAACCCAAGCCCAGTTCTAACCAACACGCAGCTTAATTAGTTCCCAACAGAAAAACAACTCTCTTCATAACATCTGCAACCTGTGTAGTAGCTAGGCCTATTGAATCATATACACTGTATCATGATACATGTTCAATATTTAAATGAATTGATCAGGCCTGTAATTTATAGGTCATATGGGCATCAACAAAACAAAATATTAAATGCCAGCCATAAACTATTCTGACAATCGGTATTCCCTATTGAGAATATACACGCAACACTTGTAATCAGGATGTCCAGTACCTTTCTGTTTAATAACTATGAACTACTTTTCATCAAATTTTGTCTGAGAAAAATTCTTTTGTTTACAATATCCTGATTTATTTTATGCACCAACTTGAAAAATTTTTTTTCTTTCAAGCAGCCCCTTGCATAGCCCCTTCACAAGTGTGGTACTACTCTTTTGCAGGGCAAAATGCTATGTTTTGGTTAAATTTGATGTAAAAGTAATTGTTTTTTTTTGTCATTTGATTATCTATCTGTATAAACAAAAATGCCATCAAACATTACACTTAAATTTGCTCTGCAAAAGAGTAGAACCACAATTATGGTGAAGGGGCCAATTGACCTAATAAAGCGAAGGTAAGCAGTTAAAACCTTGTGCACCTGTACATTAATATTAATATCTTCCTAACATTATATAGATGTTTTAAAAGAAGCATAATAAATAGTGTGCATACTTTTTATACATGTATAACTTTTGAATTGTAATTGAAACAATAACAATGCCAATTAGATGTTCTACAACTTGATTGATATTTTTCAGATATCAAAGTCCACATTTGTGTGTTCCAAGCATTTTAAGGAAGATGATATTGTAAAAACATTGACAGGTACAAGGCTACAAGCAGCTTCAATGTTTGAGTTCTTTTGCTGTTACTTTATTAAATTGTTGAATATTAATTTATATTATCAACTTAAAAGTTTAAATAATGCACATTAGTTAGCATTGATCATCTAGATTTATAATAAATTTATATCGATAAATGTTCAATTCTAAATATATAAACTTTCTGAAAAATCAAGGTGACATTTCTATTTAAAGTTCAAAAATAAAGTTGTAATATGGAGTCAAGTGCAACAAACATTTAATATTTTAATTTGGAAACAGATAATTAAATATTTTATAATGGTTAAAATTAACATGTCTACACACCTTGTAGGACTAAGAAAATTGAAGAAAGGCATAGTACCAAGTATGTTTCCATGGACTAAGAGTGCACCAAGCCGTAAACCACCCAAGAAGAGGGAAGGACCTCCTCAGTAAGAGTTTATAAGTCATGATACAATTTGCAGTATTAATTTTGTTTCTGATAAACAAGGAATGCTGCATTTGTATTATTTAAGCACTGAGTTGTAAATTTTGATGTCCATCATGTCACAACATGGGCTGAGCTGTGCTCACAAAATGAGTTACATGCATAAGCACATACGTATCGTGTTTGTACAGCTGGTCATGTTAGGGCATGATGGACATGAAAATGGACAGTTCGGTACTTATATTACCATTTAAATAATAAATACAGCTAAATAAACCTAGATTCTCATCCTCGTCTCAAATAAAAAAAAATCTGTTTCCTTAGTCTAAATTCATATCGGGATCGGTAATCAACTAGTATTCAACTTTCGTTCTCTATCCCCCATACGTAAGTGTGATTTTCACGGCTGTTAAGATCATTAAACAGAATCATCAGTAGTTGTGAAAGATTCCTGATGCGAGATGATGTGTAGTAAGAGATAAACATATTTAAATTGACCTCTATAACTATGTATGACTTTTAGATGTATAACAAAGATATATATCTGACAACAGATATAACGCTTAAATCTGCATCATTTGATAAGGTCAAAAAATATCTGTATAATGGAAGAAATTGTTATGAAATCCACCACCTGCCTCAATTTAAAAAAAAAAAAATGGATGAGAATCGAGTTTTTTTATTTATTAAATCCTTATTACAGGTTATTGGCTGGTTATTGTGCCATTGTAATGGCTCACCTGAGCAGACGGAAAGCTCAAGTTAGATTTTCTGATCAAATTCACAGGCCTTTCTATCGCTTAAAACAATACGTTATATCGCGACTACCAATGAGTACCTCGCAGTTATCTAACTTCCTACCGCTCTTTTGCGGGGGAGTCGAGAAAAGTCTAAATTTCTGGGGGCAAATGACATTGTTTACAGTAGTGACAATCGAATGATTCGAACAATTTAATGTTTTCCCAGATATTGAACTCCAAATGGTAGATTGTCAAATAAGGAAAGTTTAGAATATTTTATCTGCTTAAAAATGTGATGATTTTCAACGAAAATTTACCAAGAAGAGTCCGCTTAATTAAAAATATCGTTAAAAATGTGACAATTTAGGATTGGCTCCTCTCAAAAATATTATAAGGCTGGTTCATCGATTTTATAGTGAGGCATTCCACCAGGATTTTTTACTTATCTGTCCTTATAAATGCTACAATGATCGATCTTGCATTGTATTGAATAGCACATTGCCCCCACCAAACAGACGATTCCTACCTCCTACACGAAAGAGTTCTACTAAGTTAAGTAATCGCGATATCAAGTATTGTGTGTGTAAAAAAAATAAAGGTATTGAACTCTTGCACTGGCTACCCTATTTCGCTAATAAAATATTTTTTTATTCAAATGCTCTAAAATTCTACTTTCTATTCAAATCTATTCATAGATAAACATTCTTCATTTCTACCAAAGCTCACTCCAGAATTCCATATACAGTACTTCTCAAGATATTCTGAAATCAATTTTAAAAATGACCTACTTTCTTTTACTCGACATTAGCTTGGGCCCCTGGTCATTCACATGTAAACAGATGATGTTTAAAGTGCAGTGAAGAGTTGCAAAGTATTATCAAAATTTTTCAACAATTCAAAGTTGATTTCTTACTCCAGATTGTAAGGTTAGGTCAGTAGTAATTCCTTTTGCGAAAAATTAATTAAATTAAATTTGCGAAAAATTAATTTGAAAACATTTGCATCAACAACTGCACTGCCATGTTGATTAAAAATGTAAATGAAGCCATGGTAGAACAAATATTTTCCAGAATGCATTGTATACCTCTCAATTTTCAAAACATTTAGACCGCTAAAATGTTTTTTGTGACTTAGTAATATCATATGATCGAATTAGAGAAAACCTTGTAAAGCTCGAATGCAAATGAACAAATATTTATTGAGTTTAGCAGAGCTCCAGATAATTTTTTACCCCAAAGTGTATTTACTCCCTTATTTTCAAATCAATGCAGATTTTGATTTTCAGTAAAATGATTGAAGAGTATTTTGTCTATATATAAATGGTTTGACCTTGAATTTGAGCTTGTAATCGAAATATAAGTACCGGTATTTTTGAAGAGGGAAAAAACTTCAATGGTCAGTATCTGCATTTATTTAAAAACATTTTGAAAATACCAACAAGACTTTTTGCTAAAATCGGGAAGCATTCTTTTTTGAGAAGGAAGATTATACCGTAGGTCAAGGTATCACAGAGTCAGAGATAAAGAAACTTCCTTTTCTCTATTTCAGATGATATCGTATCAAGAGTAAAAGAATCTTTGTTAATATGGCAAGTTGAGAATACGAAAAATTGGAAATGAACCCATAATAAAAAAATTATGCCTTGTGCAAAGTCTTTCTATTTATATAAATTGAAATCATATTTAAATCTCTGATTCTTCCTCCCGAAATGGAGATCGTTGTCGCCATTACCAGAATATTCCTGATCACTAAAAGGCTTTTATATCTGTACTTCGTTTTAAGAAAAAACAAACGCTGAGTTAACCTCAATTCATATTACCAAGTAGGTCGTACTTTTATTCTTCAAGCTGTTGTACGCAGTACTTTCGTGGTGTAATGCTTATCTACGATTGCTCATGCGTAACTGTACGCCCTATTTTAATTTCCAATACGTATTTTGTAAAATTCAATGCCTAATTCTGCTAATACGCACCTTATCTGGAGCTCTGAGTTTAGAATAAATTCCGGAAAACATTTGTCCCATTGTTCCCGCTTTACAATTAGTGTAGCTCTTCCAAGGCCCAAGCTGATGTCGAGTAAAAAAAATAATGGTTCATTGCTTAAACATATCATCTCATATGTTAGTTCAAATCATCCCATAGGGAAAGGGGCACAATAATATGGTCGAAGTCTTGGATTAAAATAAGTAAATTGTTTTATTAAGACACTTTTTCTCCAGATAAATCTGTATTGGTACCAATGGATTATGGTATTATCTGGATGTGTAAATGTTAGTGAAAAGTATGTCATGAAAAGTATTTCATGCAATATTGTGTCTGACAACAACCTTTTTCTTTTATCATTTTTGTATGTAGTGAAGCTTGCATACAACCACTGACTTGTAAAAAGTATTGCATTTTGTGATCAAATGAATCATAAAGGTTTAGGAATGAGCAAGATATTTAAGTCCCAATGACATATAGCTGAGTTTTCAAAATTCTACTGTATCAAAGTAAAACATTGCTATATATAATATTTTACATGTATTTTGATACATATTGATCTTTTCAGAGAAGAAACATCAATTATTAAGAAGCAGAAAACATCATCGTCAATCTCGTTAGACACAGACCAACATTCATCATCAACTGCAACATGTGCCATTGACACTTCAACAGATATGCCATCTGAAGAGCATGACTATTGTCGCCAAGCACCATCTCTTGAAGAAGATCTTGAGGTAAGACACGGATAATGTAGTTCATTTGATCTTGGGGGCATGTTGACTTTAGCTCACACCTGAGCTGAAAACTCAAGTGAGCTTTTCTGATCGTCCGTCTGTTAACTTTTCACATTTTCAACTTCTCAAGAACCACAGGGCCAATTTTAACAGAACTTGGTACAAAGCATACTTGGGCAAGGGAAAATTAAATTTTTAATATGAAGAGCGAAAACTCCTTCTGAGGGAAAAAATCAAGAAAAGACAAAAATAGGGTGGGGTCATTTATAAATCTTCCCAGTGGGCCCGAAAAGCTGAAACTGATGTAGAAGCATCCTGGGGTAGTGTAGATTCTAAATTAATCAAATCATGACCCCCCAGGGTAGGGTGGGACCACAATAGGGAATCCTAGTTTTACATTGAAATATGAAGGAATTTTTTTTTTTAAATCTCAAGAACCATTAGGTCAGAAAAGCTAAAACTTATATGTGGAAGCATCCAGCTGGAGCAATGTAGATTCTAAATTAACCCCTGGGGATAGGATGGAGCAATAATGGGAATCCAAGTTTTACACAATAGACAGTACAAGGGGAAAATCTGTCAAAGAACAAAATGGACCAAATTACTCAGGTGAGTGATGTGGCCCATGGGCCTCTTGTTTATGAAAACCACAATGGAAATCTTATCAGTTAACACTGTTTAAAAGCAAACCACCTATACAGATTTTTTAGCAGCATCTGTTCCATCAAAAAAAACATCCAATGATGTGCATTCAATAATATAATTAATGTTTCATCATGTAAATAATACTGTATACAGTTGCTCATACAAATTTAAATAAAAGAAGAAAATGTCTTGTCTCTGTGATATTGTGGTAATGTTGATATTAATTTGGAATAGATAAACCATGTGCATATATCACTTTGTAAAACATGTACTATATTGCAGGCAATGAAGATACACATTTCTAAACTAGAAGAAAGGGTACAGCACCTTGAGAAGAAAGTAGAGAAGTTCGGAATTGAAAGATTTTCCAAAGATCCAAATTTGATAAATTTTTACACTGGTTTTTCTACTTATGATATTTTTTGTGCTGTATATAATGTTGTTGAGCCAACAGCCTCAAATATGATCAGGTGGTCACAAGTTAAGAGAAATAAGAACATTGTTTGTAATCCTTTTAGAGAAGAGTCTTTGTCAATTGTAGATCAATTTTTTATGTTTTTATGTAGAATTAGACAAGGTTTATTTGAAGAAGATTTAGCACAACGTTTTTGTGTGTCTCAAAGTACTGTTAGTCGTATTATTATTACTTGGAGTAATTATTTGTATTGTATTTTGGGATGTTTACCCATATGGCCAGATTTAGATATTGTTAAACAGAATATGCCAGAATGTTTTAAGACTACTTTTCCCAATACACGAGTTATTTTGGATTGTACAGAAATACGTGTGCAGACTCCAAGTGCCAAAGTACTTAACTCTCAGTCATATTCAAATTACAAGTCTCATACTACCTTTAAAGGCTTGATTGGTATAACCCCTCATGGTGCTGTATGTTTTGTTAGCAGATTATTTACTGGCAATATTTCTGATAAAGATGTAACACGAAGAAGTGGTATACTTGATCTATTAGAACAAGGTGATGATGTGATGGTCGACAAAGGTTTTTTAATCCAAGATTTACTTGACAGTGTTGGTGCACACTTGATTATTCCACCTTTTTAGGACATAAAATTAAATTTAGTAAGGATGAAGTTACTAAAACTCAGCAAATAGCAAGACTAAGAATTCATGTAGAAAGAGCTATCAGAAGGTGTAAAGAGTACCATATTTTTGATAATGTTCTGCCATTGTCTGTTGCGGGGACAGTAAACCAGATTAGGTCTGTGTGTTGTTTATTAACAAATTTTAAAGAAAAGTTATTTTGACAATTATATTTTCAATTGTTTGATACTGTTTATGCGTGTGGCATGTAAATGAACATCATCTGCGTATTTGATATACCAGACATGTGCAAGTGAGAAGGTACACATACCTGTATATATTCAAAACAGAAATATGGCTTTAGTGCACAACACTTTTTTCCTTTGCATGCTTTGGGAAATTGATTTTTCTTTGTACATTTTCATTGATATGTTTTCAACTGATATAGATCTTTTGGGAAAAAAAATAATACCATGAGATTTTATCAAGGTTTGGGTAACTTTGAAAATCTAATACAGATATTTTAAAATTTGATTTAAGTACAAGAATTTTTAAATTATACTGTATATGCAATGCTATCATAATTACTTTTGGTAATCAACGCAATTGCAATTTTATTAAGATTTACATTGCATGATTTTTTTTGTATGAACATAAAGGACAACTTTTTTGAAAAGGACAAGGCTTTGAACAAATTTGGATTTGAACAGACTTGAATCTACACTATGTAGGGAAGCTTTTGCCTCTTATGGCTATTAAAGGGGGTTTTTTTTTAGTAGAAAAAAAATAATGATGCCAAATTTTCATTCTTTCCCAATCATCTCCCCATTACATACATGTATAGAGAGAATGGGGTACTTCATTTAAAATTTTAACAGATGACAGACTCTCTTTAATCAGAAAAAAGCTTATTTGAACTTTTGGATTAACAAAACAAAGAAACCAAACAAACAAAAATAACAGCATTCATGTACTCACATGTACAATTTTTTTCTTTTTATGATCTATCATAGATGTTATTTTCAGTATCGAACACATTTTGGTAAAAAGCATTTGAAGTAAAATATGTCAAGTTTTTGTTTTATTTCCTGCCACTTTCCTGGTACAAAGTTAATTCTTTCCAGATGGTAGTCATCTTTACACCAAATGAACAAATCGCACCACAAAGCACCGGTCAAACCCATTTGACCCATTATCTGATAATAATATTCATGTGAGGATTTTAGCTTGTAGCTGTTATTCACAAGAGTTAGATATTTTAAATTTGTGATGGAATCTGCATTTGGACATTTAATTTCTAAGAGTCCATACATAGGAACAGAGTTGGGGGTCTATGACTTTCCTGTCAGGAGAAGTTCCCAAATAAAAACATGAGGGATTGATGACTAAGCCTGCTTTAAACACATTATTTCCTGTTATAGTGGCGTATGCTTCTGCTGCCTCCTGTTCGTGTTCAAGTCCAAATTTCATTGCTGCTGTTTGAATTTTGTTACTTTTTAATAATGCATCAGCCAAAGTTTCGAAATCTTTTTTCCGTGAACAAACTCTTTTAAATTTAGATGAAGTAATTCTGTGCTTTCTTGCTGAATTCCAGTAGGGATTTTTAGACTGTTCAATTGTATTTTGTTCAATGTCGTCAGAATCAGTTTTTGACACGGCAAGTCCATCATAAAAATTTTGTTCACCCAGATTTAGAGCTGTATTAAAAGTTTGATCAAGAATAGGTAAATTATATCCAGGAAAAGTAGGAAACGCAGGATTGTTTATAATTGTATCGTTACTTTCGTCAATTTTCTTTTGCTGATAAGAAAGAAGGGAACCTCTAGGCACTGGTCCTACTTTTGATTCAATGGTCTCGATGGAATTAATTTTGGAGGAAGGTGGCAGTATGGTTTTAAATTGAGCATTTGTTGCCATTATATTTTGATTGAGAGATTCCAAAATGTTCTGATATGGTATAGGTTGCTGTATTGGACAATAAAATTTTGATTTCACACCATCTGTTCTTTTTATTTTTTTACAGGTAGTTTTCTGAATATCTACATCCTCAACTGCTTCAGGACGGATACCTTCTAACCGTTGGGGTATATGCCATGTTTGAGGCATTGATGTCTTAGATTTGGCACATGGCACTGTCTTTAAATAAAGCTTTTGATAGTGGGCTAATGTGTACATAAAGCCTAAAATATGGCTGCAATTTCCAGAGCCTGCTTTACATGTGCAGTTGGAACTTTCAACATCAGTACAAGCTGCAGCTTTTAGGGCAATTTGTAAATTATGTGGGGGATCATTTTTCCTCATAGAAGGAAAGCACTTGGCTCTAATACAAGCACCAGTGCCCCCTAATGTACATGGTGTCACTGAAACAATAGAAGAAGCTTACTTAGCTTCCTTGTAAATGAAAATTGATAAGGAAACAGAAATAAAAACAACCAAGGACAAAATGAAACTGATTTCAAGAAATGAAAAGAAACTTGGACAAATGATATGAAATAAAAATGAATAAAAGAGATTGAAAACCAGGTTGGGATTTATTTGCTACATAAGTAGGAAAGCAAAAGAATTCAGATGATCTTTTTTAATTTATACATGTATTGAATGTAAATTTAAGCTATATAAACACTTGAAATTGAAATTGCCAGATTTTTTGGTATATAACGTTATACCTCTACAGGATTTTGACATTTGTGAATATGGTAGTGTGGATCATGTTACATGTACATTTGGACTAGGGTTTTTAAAGAGGAAAAAAATAGGGGAAAAATAACCCTGATGCAGTGCATCAATTCTAAATTAATTGTTGTCTCTGGCCTCTTCAACATACATTTTCTAAAGGATTGCTTCTTTAAATCTGCATGTATATTCACTTTATATCCTAGTATGCACAATGAAAATATTGAAATCTATTGATCTAAATCATAATCAAAGCTTGTCTTTCATTCTTTGAAAGTATGTAGCACATGTATATATACATGTGTGCATTATTCAATCTGATTGATAGTACACCTGTACATGTGCAAGCATTGAAAATGCAATTGCAACTATATAATTTATACACAATAATATTTATTACATGTAATTTAAATAAGCATTCCAACCAATACTAAAACCAAGACATCACATCGCAACAAGGTTGATAAATAAAAGGTTAAGAATCCTAAAATTTGAAATGTGTTTGTATATGTGTACATGTATTTGAATTTAGTTTATATTACCCCCCGGTAAGCATTTATTACATGTAGTAACCATCAAATTAAAGTGCTGTATAAGTATATATGCGTATCAAATGTTAATACAGTGCTTTGTTTACATTTAAAATTCCATGTTCTATTAATGAAATGCCTTGCAATTTTCAAAAGGGAAAAATCTATCAAAATAAAGGAATATCAAGACATATAAATAATAATTAAAAACCAAAAAAAAAAAAAAAGGAAGAAAGAAAAGAAAACAAAGACATATTTCAAATGAAAATAGTTTAAATTTATTTATTAACAAAGTAAAAAAGTAATGTGTTTATAAATGACACAAGGTAAATAATCACAGCATCGATAACGTCTACTTTAAATGGACTTCATTCTTTGCTAATTATATAAGCAACGCCCACTTTAGTGCACGTACATTTCACATAACGTGGACATAAAGTTCTTAATTTATATTATTTTTTCTTTAAAAATGATAACTAAATGTATGTATTCTCTACTTGTGGTGAATATTTATTGTCTTCCATTCAATGAATTTCAGTAATAATGACAGATATCAACGTAAAGGATTCTATGTATGCTGTCCGATGGTCCATCGTAAAATTGTAAACAAACCTTCGATATCATGTACATATCCTTCAGCAAAATTGTTGTATCATCTTTTGAGGGATTTATTGGGGATTTTCGACGTCGTAGACCATGCCGATATTACATCGTCGGTTATCCTTGGTACGCTTGCGAGAGAGCGCGTCCACGCTGGATGACCTTCGCCGCACTTCGCCATTTTCTAGTAGTGAAGGACGCTAGTTTGTCAGGTCAGCCTCGGTTTCGTATTTTAATGGCGGACGCGTGAATAGCTTGGAAGGTATCATAACTCCAGAGGAAGCCCTCTCTGCTTTAAAAGATATGGAAAATGATAAAAGCCCAGGCAGTGATGGTTTCACTACAGAATTTTTCAAATTTTTCTGGAAGGATTTAGGAAGCTTTTTAATAAGATCAATAAATTTAGGTTTTCATAAAGGAGAGCTATCAATAACCCAGAAACAAGGTATTATATCAATTTTACCAAAAGGAGCTAAACCTAGAGAATTTCTTAGTAACTGGCGTCCAATATCTCTTCTAAATGTAACATATAAAATTGCATAAAAAGGATTTCTCAATGGTAGATTTATTGGAGAGAATACACGAATAATTTATGATGTAATAAATACGGTACATGAAAAACATATTCCTGGTATGATATTACTTATTGACTTTGAAAAAGCATTTGACTCTATATCATGGAAATTTATGTATAATACTTTGAAATTCTTTAATTTTGGTCCTGATCT